AAGGATATTATGTTAGGTCGTGTTAGTTATTCAGACTTTTTAAGTTTGTCTTTTTGTGATTTTTATCTAGCTTGTTTGTTTAAAAACACGAGTTCTATTTGTATAAAATTATTATTAATATTTTGGGAACTAAAGGCTCTTTCAGATTAGAGTCAGGACATCTAAAGTCATGAGTTAATGTAGTATGTACTCCTTTATAAGGCTTAGATTGCACCAAATGCCAAAACGAAAATCACTAATCTGAAAGATACCTTCTGGTTACAAATATTTTGGCTCAACGTGAATAAATCCTTGTTAATAAGTCAGTCGTCTTGTTAGCCATTCAGCCTGATCATATATTTAGTTTTCTCATTCTGAAGTTCTGAGTTTTTTGTGATTATTACGTGTCATTTGAGCAGAAGAAACAAGTCACTCAAAAGTTTAAATATGCTAGTGATATCAGAATCAGAACCATTGTTATGGGCCCTGAAGAATGTTACATTAAGTTTATTTTCAATAAGTAGCGACTAGCGGCTAAGTTCTAGATGCGAGATAGCTTAGAATTAACATTTTGCGCTGTTTGTAAATAATTTATTTATTCCACAACTCAATTCTAACCGTTTGTTAACTAATCGCTACGTAACGCCTAGTTTGTTGATCACTCAATACAAATTTATTATTGTACAAAATGATGTTATTTTTTAAATAAAGCTATTTTTATTTTACACGTTTTCTTTTTTACCCTCTTCTCGATTTTGATGAATATTTTTCTAAAACATTATGTCCTAAGTAAATAAACCTTTATAATACAAATAAAAAAACATCTTACCATTTACAAAATGCTGGAAAAGGCAGGAATGGGCGCGAAACAACATTAGAAAACAGCCCGGTGTGAAAAAATAAAGGATTGCACGTACCCTTGGTTCCTGGATACGGTGGAGACGTAGATACCTCGTGGTAAGTATCGTGTGCGAGCACATGTGCAGCTAGGCTCTATCTTTCAAGCTGTAAAACCACTTTAGCACACCGTTTCAGTAAATATTATCTAAGCAAAACAAATGTATACCGATATCCAAAGTAAAAATAACGTGAGCAACAAAATAATTTACGAGAGCGGTTACTTTAGCGTATTATTTTCCGGCGGCCACAGAGCACGTAAGTAATACCGGCGGCGAATCGTTCGAATATCGAACAGCGACACCTCGCGGGTCATTGCGGAAGTCACAATATCGTACTCTTCTTTTAGTACCTACGTGCGAGATAAGGATAGGAGAGGAATTTAGGAAATGAATTTTGTACTGGGATAAAATACTCAAAACAAATCCTTATAAATAAACTACCTTGTAAATGGCGCAACCACACTCGATAAGGGTAGAAGACCTACGAAGATGATGAAGCACAGAATGAAATAAAACAAATACAATTTGATCATCGAATTTATTACAGTACACATAAAAATAATAATTATTGCAATGAAAAAAAAACAAGTTAATCGTTGTTTAATTAAATAATTTTGTTTAAATATAGTCTCGTCTTATTCTAAGGCGCTTGCACGTGGGCGGCGTGCGGACTAGAGGGCGCCACTGTCGGATATCGACTGTCACGTCAGTTTCAATCTTAATACTAGGTATTATGGTTGAATTTTGAACATTTCCTATAACAGTTTCATCAATTTATTTATTGCTAGTAATTATTGTCGGATTTATATTACAAATTCAAAGTAGTATAATTATAAAGCAAAGCTTTATGCTTCAAACTACCTTCATAGGAGTTTCAACATTACTTTCAAACAAAATTCCATATTTATGTTGGTGGAAATATATGCATTCATTTGATGAGCCAGTTACATTACATTAACATGATCTACATTATAAATAAAAAATCTAACTTAAAATCCGCCCACATTTTTAAGTAAAAAATAAATAAATAAATTCCAGTCGTTACAACTCTACTTGATTCATTTTATTTGCCTAGAGGTTAAATAATTTTTGACAGTCGATTCCTGGCGCCCAACGTGGGACACGCGTGCGGTAAACCACAAAGTAACACGCGAATTGCTATTTTGTGTTCTAAGCCGGAGCGTATAAAATTCATTACATTTCGTGGATTAAAATATTTCCATCAAGTAGCACTATAACCATTCAAGACTTCGTGTTAGGCAAATTGAGGTATACAAATTGCTATTATTTGGTAGAGTACGTTTTTAGCTAAAGCCTGGTCCGTGAGCACGTAGTATTTTGTCCAATGATCCTAAGCTACCCATCCTTATCGCTCGCGCGTAATTATATTGCTGTCGCGACTGTGCGACGCGCGCCCGCAGTGAGTGTGCGAGCGCGACAGCAACATAATTACGCGCGAGCGATAAGGATGGGTAGCTAGGGGTCATTGGACAAAATTCTGCGTGCTCACGGACCAGGCTTTAGTCTTATAATGTCTCGTTTATTAGTCACATGGAAAAAAGTGCTACACATGATACTAAGTTTATCACCGTTACTCTAATATTATCAAGTAATCATAAGATTTTAAGCCCGATCTCGATAAACTATTCCATTCAAACATTACAAGAGATGACTTATCAATAAATAATTTGTATGACATAAACTGCCGTTAACAACATTATACATTGTTTTCAAATGTGACTGTACTTAGAAGCTTGAAAACAAAACGTCTAAATCCTATACATTTGGTCGAACAAATTAATTACTAAAATAAAATGTACAAATTACACTCTACAATAAAAATAAGCTATATACTATAACGATCTATTAATTACAATCCGTTGTATTAAAATTAAAATCTATATTTGTGTAACAAACTAAAAGATTAGAGTTAAGTATTGCAAGTCACTTACCAATATGATACAAGATATTTACAGTCGAACGTTTGTTTGCACTGTATCGTTAAATATGGTCTGGTCTCTGCAGAACTAAGCGTATGCACACTACGTGCTCAATATTTACCATCATATTACTTTTATATGACTGATATACCTAATAGATTCTGAGCTTCAAACTTAGGTACATTAGGTTCAAAATAAATTAAGGCAGGTTATCATTTTACGTGAAGTTTGTCAATTAATTTTGCAAACAAAGCAAGTGAATATGTTATTTGTACGAAAGAACTTAAACTTTGTATTTAAAAAAAAATCTATTTCTACGTTTAGTTATTTTAACACTGCAGTACACGCGCCCCTTTTTTTACACCAATACACGCGCGGCCTACTCTGGTAAGCCAATTTAAAATCACTGTAAATCAGTTTGTAAACAATTTATGAATAAAATTATTATGTAAATGATTAAAGTGTTTATTATAGTTCTTTTATAATCAAAGTTTCTTTGTATAACTATTTGGGATAAAACATTATAAACAAATTAAAAAGTTGTAAATTTTTTGGACCAAAATTGCATTACCCTGGTCTACTCTAGTAGGCCACGCGTGTACTCTAGTGTTAATGACGTCACAAATATGATGATAATTATTGAACACGTCAGAACCTTCAAGAGTCCTTAAATACATGATACGCAGTCCTCTAAGCATTATAAAGGCTCACTTTAAATTCTAAATAATTCGCTCGTCTAGCATTTAGGCACAAAATAACACACACCTGCCTTTAAGAAAAGACTGTTAACAAAGCGTTGTGTCATGGAGTCCATATAAAATGTATTTTTTATTTAAAGCTTTACACAAGCTTTCACAGAACCAAAGATTTAAAATGGCAGTTTTAATAACTGAAGCAATCATCTATTTGTTGGACATTAGTGATATAAGTCCCATAAGGACTTGTAGTTCTTGTTGGACTTTCAATTCTACAACACAAAACTGAATTATCACTTATCTGTAACAGTCTCTTTTCAAAGAACGATGTGCATAAATTTTGCTGGTACAACATGATTATAAGATTATAGATTACGATTTTCACAACTGACCTAAAGCTCTAGTTTTGAGTCTCATCAAATTTAATCTCACGATTACACGATTAGTATTAATGAAATTAAGTTAATATTCAAAACGTAAGCATTTGAACATTTTGTTACTTAACAAAATGCAGTGTTTGTGAAAATACTGTTATTGTGCACGATTTGAAATCTTTGTACAAGTAATATTTATTTATTTAATTACGTCAGTTTTTGGTTTACATAATTAGGCTTCAACGTTGCCACTGCCCTGTTCAATGTGTGTCAATGAAAACCAAAATAATATTAAACGATTTAAAAATTATGGCTTTAATGTTGATTATATTATGATTTAATACTGCACGGTGTATTATATTACACGAATCACCGAACTACGGCCGTAACAGTGCCCCATTCAGTTACTAATATTAAGCTATGAACAAACTTGTATCCATTACATTGGACCAATTTTTATATTTTCATTNAAACACCCTGTATATCATAAATATCCGATATTTTGATATTTATAATAAATATCGGATATTTTCGAACCCTGGTTAATAGTAAGTAAAAAAATATGTGGGGTTTCTTTATAGCTGTCCTATGAGCCTATCACATAAAGTTAATATTCCTTCGGAATAGAGCAACAAATACCAGGTGTCAAATTAAACCGCTTTTGGATGACATTTTGTGTGTCAGTTGCCAGGATTATTTCACTATTTTGTACAATAAATCAATCACTGAACCAGTCACCACGTTTCTGAAGCACTATTTTTCATAAGCATCCACGATTACACTTACGTAAAATCTAAAAATATCTCAGTTCAAATTTTACAGCGTGCCAATAACTGCTAACTGTCAAATAGTTCCAAAAAACGGCTAAGTTTGACTTGCGGCGACGGCATCACGCATCTCTTTTTATCGCAGTGTTGCTGCTAAAGCCCGGTCCGTGAGCACGTAGAATTTTGTCCAATGACCCGTAGCTACCCATCCTTATCGCTCGCGCGTAATTATATTGCTGTCGCGACTGTGCGACTGGCACCCGCAGTGAGTGTGCGAGCGCGATAGCAACATAATTACGCGCGAGCGATAAGGATGGATAGCTTGGGGTCATTGGACAAAATTCTGCGCGCTCACGGACCAGACTATAGTAACATTTCTCTAACTCAGTCTTTCGTTGCTCTATTCCGCAAAGTATATCAACTGTATGGCCTATCACGAGTCCACGAGCCGCGTGGCGCGCACGACGGCCTTGTAGGAGAACACGATCGTGGCGTTGCGTATGCGCACGACTGGTTCGGCGCGCTCACCCTGGTCGTCGTGTCGCGTGGCGCGCGTCGTGTCGGCGCGCACGCCGTTGCGGAGCTCCGCGCGGGTTAAGCTCTGGCTCCGGCCTTCTGATAACCTGCAAAGAATATGCTCTTTACATCTACAATAACAGATAATACAGATAGTGATAGCGACACATTTGTGTGCTTAGTGCAAGTTTACACCAAACGTCATCGCTAGCGACTGCGTTAAAACATGACATCAAATGTATGACAGATTGCACAACGTCCCTAACGCACACTTTTAGACCTAAAATCTTTAATGCAAACTCGCACTAATCTTTATGAACGTACAGCTTTTTTTTTTTGCAGAACAAGGGTGGTAAGTATTTGATCGCAATCACACTTGGTTTTATATGATGATAGAGACTAAATACGCTGACAGCATTTTAGAGAAACCTATGACATCGTGGGCGCTCAGAGGGGGCAAATCAAAAATTGGGGCATAACAAAAGGAAATTAGGCAAGGAGAAAGAATGGATTTGTGAACTAAAAATAAGGTAAATGGATATACTAAAAAAAAATACTATGTAATAAGGGGTACAATAAAATTTGCAGTTTGGTTACTAGTTTGAAAATTACATCGAAACCGCAATCCAACTCTGAAGTAGGGTAAACCAGAGAGTGATTGCCCACCGGTAGTGATTGCCCACTTTAAGAATAATATTGTCAGGTACTGACTTTGAATCACTCTAGTTAGATTTGAATTTACTAAGTAGATGGCTCCGAGATCAATGTACAGTAGATTTAAAATTTACAATAGGAAACACTAAAAAAAAAACAGTTATGGCGGATTTTGTCAAGACGGGTGAAAATGTTACTCAAACAGGTAAAGACTTTAACAATTTTACTAAGGAATTACTTGCTTAGAGGTTAAATTTTTTTTGCAAGTTATTTAATATTCAACTAATGGTGTATAGTCATGATGAAATTATAAGTGTTTTCTCCATTATCAATGAAAATAACTGATAAAATTTGATTTCTAACGGTCATTTTAACGGTGGGTAATCACTGCACGTAAATCTGTATATTTTTAGTTATTGCCCACCATCATTTCAGTTATTGCCATATGTTAATGTATAGTTATTGCCAAGGGCAATTATTATTAGAGTGTTGCCACCATGCAGTAGCACTGTTTAAGTTGCTCATTGCTAGACTTGTTTTGCAATTTACAGGCATAAATATTAAAATGGCTTTTAATGTTTCATTTTCAATATGCCAAAGACTCCAAAAGTTCAATATAGCATAGAAAATTTGTGTCTGTCTGTCTGTCTGTCTGTCTGTTACGCTTTCCCGCTTAAACCTCGCAACCGATTTTGATGAAATTTGGCATAGAGATAGTTTGAGTCCCGGGAAAGAACATAGGATAGTTTTTATCCCGGTTTTTGAAACAGGGACGCGCGCGATAAAGTTTTTCTGTGACAGACAAAATTCCACGCGGGCGAAGCCGCGGGCGGAAAGCTAGTTATTATTATAAAGAGCTGTGGTTTTCTGAATAAAGAAAAATAAAATAAAATAAATCTTAGGCTGAGTTGCATAATCTTACTTTAACCGTTACTCATATTTTTTGTATGGAGTTTGATAGACTTTTGTTATAGTTAAAGTAAGATGATGCAACCCAGTCTTAGGGGGCTATATTTCAGGGAAAAAACTTATTGCTAGTAACTGTTCTTACTGAACTAGATATAATTTTAGAAGTGGCAATACGGAATTGAAGTGTTACTCTTGCCATTCATAAAGTGCCAAAAAATAAGGCTTTATAACAAAAAGGTACACAAAAAATACTCAAAATAGGAATTAATTAAAGCTCAGACTACACGCATCCGACATTCATCCAAGATTTTTGCAAAATTGAGGCATTAAAATAAAATTAGTTTCGTTTTTGAGCGGATCCACAAAATCCCGAGTGCGTGTAGTCCCAGCCTTACAACAAGTACCAAGTTCACTGACCTGTGCCTCTGCGGGTGCGCGGGGTCGCGTGGGCGCGCTGCAAGGTGATGCCACTTGACGTACCCGCTGAGCCGGCGCTTCACCAGCCCGGCGAGCGAGTGCAGCCAGCCTGCGCCGCGCACACGTCAGCGCACCGCCACACTGACACTGCCCACCCGTGTGCAAGGGACCTCTTTGGTTTGCCTCATCTGTTTTTGCTACGTGCGACGCGATTTTGTTTCGAATGATAATTTTTTTTAGTGCATTTCAGCCAGTTTGCAATTTTTTTTCTGCATTCGCGATGTTCATTTATTTCGAACGATTTGAATGTTAATATTGAGATGTTCATTTGTTGTATCCCGAACGAATGCAAGGTGAAAAGATAATGCGTCTCTTGCGTTTACATTATCGTGTGGTTATGGAATGTTTCGATTAAAATGTTGTATCAAAAATATTTTGCAGTTCCTATAATTTACTCAAGAAGTAACTCTGATAGCAGTCAAGAAATGACAGTTATTTAGTCAGTGCTCTTGAGAGATGATAAGATTTTCAATTAGTGAACTGCATGGATAGTAAATAGCGACATTTGATACAACATACAACATTTCCATTTCTACAAGCACCGACGCTACATAGAACCAAAGAGCTCCCGCGTGTAGTCATATGCCCGGCCACTGCGTGATGAGATGAGGCGAAGCGACATGTGATGAATGGACCCGCCACACCGCGCCACTACAAGCCGCGGGTTGTTTGGTTTGTAGGGTAGTTGTGCATTTAATTAAAAGTAATTTATTTTCTGCATATAGGCTTTTGATAAGCAGTATTACACGTCCTAGAATTACTTCAACCCTAGCACTGCTTCTGGATAATAAATGGGCCAGTGCTAAAAAGAAGGACAAAATAATAATTGTGGAGTCCCAATACTTGTATGTCCTTTCAAGACGTTCAAGATAGAATCAAGTGTCAGTGCAGAAGCAGCGCAAGAAACTCAGTCACATTTTTTTTTGTTTAGGAGGATAGATGTTAATTTGTCTATCATTAAAGAAAAATATAGGAAGGAGATGATACAATAATCATACTTATAAATTTCGAGAGGCTAGAGAATTTAATGGGACATCAATCCTTTCTCGAAGATTAACTATGTTTTTGCTCTTTATCAGTATTCCCGCAATTAATAACAGTGCATATAAAACATCAATTTCTATTGATTATGATGAACCTTATTCTCAAAAGCAATTAAAAATCTCGTAATAAGCACATACATTTAAAACCCGTTAACCATACAACCCGCTCTAAACAAATATAGCCCTTACTAGCCTTGTATTAGGGTCGTGTTTAGTGTAGCGAGGCATGTGACAGCAACAAATGGGCAGGCGAATGTGGGGCGCTTAGGAAAAGAGCGGCAAAGCACAGGTTTATGTGATGGCACAAACATTTGACAAACATACCATGTTGATTCAAATACATACACACAAATTGCAGTAAGCACTTTGCCTAAATAGCAGTTACTATTCGCACAAAAGTAGAGAGAGATAGTGCTATACGAAAATTCTAACTACGTAAGGCGCTATCTTCGTTCTCTATGTGCCACAAATCACAATATACAAAAAAACATAACAAAGTCAACGTCAAATAGTTCGTGACTCCCAAAGTAGTCAAAAAGTTCGCAAAACGTCTTTGTTGCAATTTGCAATAAGGTTGTTTTGTCAACTTTTTTGGCTACTTTGGGTGTCACCAACTATTTGACACTGACTGTACCCTAAAACATTTGAGAGGCAAAGTGCTGACTGGAGTTGAATAATTTTGAAGCCCAGAGAACGTATTTTTAAAGCAGTACAATTTCTATTCGCATACGAATTTGTCCAAAATCGCATAGGACAAAAGATAAACGACTTATGCAATGCCACATATGAATTGAATTCTAATGCTTTAAAAATACATCTGTTTATTGAACAAACTGTTAAATCTCTTACTAGTCGTTTGAAACACTAGTTAGTTGAAGCAGCAAAAATATTAACAGCTTGATCAACTTAGACCAATTCAAATGTTTGATCAAATGTTCCGCCAACGCACATGGAGTATACATAGAAATTTTCACGAACAGTACAGTCTGTAAGATAAAATCAATTCTCAAAGGTATCAAGCAATACATAAAATGAGTTAGTTCTGCTTACAAGTAAATGCTTTATTTGCATATCATAGACTTTCGCAACTTTCTGCATTGGGAGGCAATAGGCAAAGATATCTAGATAGCTATTAGTCCTTGGTACATTTATTAGTTATCTACGAATTGTCTCAGACACACCAAAATAAAAAAATGGTACAGTGGAAGTAGTAGACATTTTTGGAAGGCCACTTGTCCATGGACCAAATATGCTTCATGTACACACGCCCACACTGTTAACTATCCATTTCCGTTTTTGCTCTCGCTCTAATCAAATGGCGATTCTTTGCGATAGAACGAGATGACATGACTTTCAATGGGCAGTTAACACTGTTGGCGATAGTACTTGAAGTTACATAACTAATGCCAATTCCGAAACCAGTTTGTGCAAATACATATTATGTGTATATAAATAAGTACCAACAACAAAAAGCTCTTTTAAAAAGAAATTGCCCTTTTCTCCCTCTTTTACTTCATTGAGCGAAAGCAGAATATGCGAAGCAGGATCGCATCTACAGCTGTTTCCCATTTTATGTGTGTTTATTTAAATATACACAGTGGAGGGTACAACATGAAACATATACATGAATGATACAGGATGAATGTGTGTGAAATGATTGTAGGGGTCTGCTTTTAGAATGCTCCTACATTAACTAATTATACAGACTACAAGTAATAAGAAACATAAATTATCTCCCGATATATTATGAATGATTTACCAAACAAAAACGAATAGATGACAAAAAATAAAATAAATAAATGTAATAATAGATATAATACAAAATTTTGAATAGCTAAAATACACATATACATAATAGAGTACCTAATAATAAACATAAATATATTATTACTCTGAAATACAACGCGCGCAGTCAAAATACGTAACGAGGCTAGAAATAGCAACACCCATATTCGAATTCCGCTTTAATCTGCTCTCTAAAGAGCTCAGAATATTATTGACACAAATACCATGTGCCAGATAAG